TAAACAGCCATAATTTAAATAGCAGTGTCAAACAAACCCAAACAGATATTGGCATGTGAAACAAAATGGAATTTTATTTCGAAATGATAACTACTAACCAATCACATTCCATTCCATAACCCTTCTTCAAGAGGACTTCTGGAGCAATATAGTCGGGAGTTCCAACAGTAGAAAAGGCCTGCAAATTCAAGAAATTACCCAAAAAAATATTAATCATCTAACTGTCACTGCTGATTTCTTCCAAGAAGCTTGTAACCATTACTTTTAATTCTAAAACACACAAACATATACAAACAGAAACAATTCTATTTACAAAAATACAAAAGAAATACAGGGTCAGGGTCTTCATTCAATGATTCCATGAGTGAAAAGATGCATAGATGAGACTATGTTTAATTCACCAGATAAAAGCAACATAGCTCAGAATGGCCAATGTATTTAACTTACAAGCATTCTTCGATTCTTTTGCCAATGCTCTAGTTGCTCTTGCTGTGTTCGTTTTGAAGCTCCTGAACGTTCTTCAGATTCAGAAATCTCATTAGCGCTGCTTCCTGAAAAATCCTGTTCCTGGAGAGTACTGCAATCCAAAGGTTTACATAGTCCAAAATCTGACAATCTCAAGTGTCCATATCTATCCAGAAGCAAGTTGTCAGGCTTGATATCCCTGCAACATTTAGACTCCAAAGGTTAACCTTTCGCTAGAGAAATCACCTTGACTGTTCGATTTATCTATATACTAACCTATGAATATAATTGTGCACATGTATAGACTCGATAGCCAAAACTGTTTCTGCAACATAGAATCTAGCCTCATCATCAGTCAATATATCCTTTCTCATAAGTAACGTCATCATATCTCCACCAGGTAGATATTCCATTATAAGATAAAGGAACTCATCATCCTGGAAAGAAAAGTAGAGTTTGACAATACAATTGCTGTCAACTTCAGCGAGCAGATTCCTTTCAGCTTTCACATGTTCAACCTAAAATAAGATTGAAACCATCCGAATGAGTAGTATACATAACCACGACACCACCATTTGGCCAGAATAAATAAATACCTGGCCTCTTCGAAGCATTTCTGATTTCGTAAGCTTCTTCATAGCATATACTTGGCCTGATGTCTTTTCCCTACAAATTCTAACCTGCACCATAAAAAAATTAAAAAAAAATAAGAAGACGACATAGAAGAAATCAAAAGGTTAGTTTTCATCGGATAACAAGGAAATTGAGTAGTCTATAGCATTAGTACTCCTTGCACAAGGACAAAACAGATGATGATCTATTAGAGTTAACATTACATAGAAGTATACCTCTCCAAAAGCACCCTTGCCAATTATAGTTAATAATTCAAAGTCATCAACACCCATTTTATGCCTCTGAAGGCGCATGTACTCAGTTTCCTTTTTCTCCAAGAACTTCAGTAAGTTGTTTTGATCTTCCTCGGAGACATCAGCATCAGCCAACTTCTTTTCCAGGACCATTCGTCTATTAATTAGAATACGAGTTTCTTTAATATAGAAGATAATAATCTACTAAAATTTGAAAAATATTATAAAAAAATGTCCAATGTCATAATATCATTATAAAATCTGCTATAAATTTTAATCTGCCCTGAAACCAGCTCGGCACTGCTTATCAATTTTTATTTTTATATTTTTTTGGGGGTGGAGGGTTTAAAATTTTAGTTTTCCAAGTGCAAAATTGAATAAATTATTTCAAATACCATAAGAATTTTGTGAATAAATTATTAAATGGTGAAATAAGACGTCATAATATGTTTATAGCCGAATGAGATGGTGATAATGTAACCACGAATGAATTTAAATTTCTTGTCTCTACTAATAACAATAATTTACTCAAGCACCGTTTAAATCTCTAGTCTCTACTAATAACAATAATGTACTCGAATTTCACAATATATTTGCAACTAATGTAAGAAAACGGAAGATACTTTAGGCAAAATTAAGCATAAGGTTAGGAAGCCGTACCGCTCTTTTCTGTCTTGGAGATTCTTCATTTGCTCCTTGTAATGATTCTCAATGTACTGCTTGGCAGCGGCGACTTTTTGTTTGGTGATATTGGAGAGAGCTTCTTCGTCCAACTCGGCATTTTGATTCCCTTCTCCTCCTCCTCCTCCTCCGCCGCCTCCACTGCCGGTCGATGCTTGATTCTTCTTAGACGAAGACCTATTCTTATCCCTCGGCTGTAACTTCGAAAGCCAACTCCTCGACGTATTTTCCTTTTCCATTTTATCTAATAAAAAATAAAATTTCAAACCCCAAATCAAATTCCCCCCGCAGTCTGCATTTCAATACTAAATAAGAAATTGACAAAAAAGGAAAAACTAAATGCAATTGAAAAAATTGAAGGGAAAAAATAAACAGATATCTGAACTTTTTGAAATGATGAGAAAATGGAAAAGTAAAGCCAGCAAAAGAAATTCATGATACTGCGTGGTTTTCGTTGGACAATACGATCCGCGAAAAGCTCTCCCGGCAATTTCGAATCGTTTTTTTTTCAAATATTTTGGGTAAAATACAAAAGTAGCCATTTATCATTATAGGGTGCGTTTTGTTAAGTCTCCGATCATGAAAATTTACAAAATAGCCATCTAACTTAATAATAATAGGTTAGCCTTTTTCCGTTAATTTTTTTAACTGGATATGATATGAAAGTTAATAAAATTAACATTTTATTAATTTTAATATTCAACCAATATAATCAGAGACTAACATATTCTTCATATCCGGTTAAAAAGTTAACGAAAGTGATTGAGTTTCATCACTCTAATCTCATAAAGAGTTTCATCATTTATCTTTATCATTTATTACGGCTTTTACACGACTACCGTAGTCATTGATGCTTTCTGTGTCACATTTTAACATTTCAAATTTAACTCGAAATGATTATAAACATACATTTTAACTTTTCAGTACCTTGAAGAGGTATTTGCAAAATCTTTCATATTTGCTTTGCATTATTTACTTTTGATTGTTTTCGAAGGCATATTCGTCTATTCCTTGACAAATAAATAATATCAGCCTCTTGTCTTTCTTACGAGATTCATTCGGTGTCCTTTTTTATTCGTTAGTTAAAGTTGCTTCTGCAACTGTATTTTTATACTCAACATATCCTTCCTCGATGATGTCTCAGCAACCTTGTGAACCAAATAAAATCTTCATTTGAATACTCTAATTATCATAATTCGTCTTTGTTAATCTCAAAATTTATGATTTAATAATATTAGTCATATTCTTTGTTGCGTGAAATCAAACCAAACTTTGATACAACACTACATGTTGCTAGTTCACAAACAAGACTCACTTCTAGTTTGTAACTATTTCTCTCTTAATTTCATTTTACTACTAAACACCCACAAAATACAACTTACCCATGTATATACGCATTACTAATGGCCTAATTTAATTTTTTTTTTCGCCTTGAAATGTATATACATTTCTAGTAATTTTGTCCCTCAAATTCTTATTAATTGGTAAGCATCCCTCATTCAATTAATTGACTTTCAACACGCCCCCCCCCCCCCAAAAAAAAAAAAATTGTGCTGCCATTCCGATCTTTTAACACAGGTTGCCGTTCATCAAGTTTACCGCTATACTAGGAGTTTCAGCTTCACGGACAAAGCTTCCAACACCATGTTGCTACCTGTTGCCTTCTAAAAGTTTACCACCGGTTTCTATTTTTTTAATCCCTTTTAGTCGTTAACAAGGTATATATACCTTATAGATGCAATTACCTCAACCCAAAACCTCTAAGAACAACATTCTCTAAGACTGCTAGATGAGTTCATATTGCCTTAAAAGTTGAGTTTGATTTTCTAACAATCATCATATATGCTTCCACTGTAGACAAATGTTGACTGGTTCGTCACCATCAGAGATTGCAGAAACTTGTTCTAGCAACAAGAATTTGAGAATTACACTTATAAATCAAAATGAAGTTGTTTTATTTTTATATTATTTTTGTGAGGTAACGTGATCTGATTTAATAATTTTATATAAATTTATCAATACATCATGTAAAATTTCTATTGTTAATATGACCAAATTATAACTCATAAGTCATAACCTTCCTTCAAGAATCTAAACTAAACACTTTGCTATTCAGTCCACGAGCTTTCTAGTAAGTAATTATATATAACAGCAAATGCTTAAATAATGGATATATATTTTTTAACCGTCAAGATCTTAACATTTTCAAATCTAATCAAATAAATCTAATATATACCACCCAAGGTCATCCTGAACCGAAGTTTAATGATTTTGGTCTAAAGTTGGTGTCTTTCTTCACATGTGATCTGTTTACAGAACAAGGGCAACCTGTGGAAATTTATCGGTTTCTTACTCATGCAAAGGAACTATTTCTGGACAACTTATAACGATGTTTGTCCGGCATATACCCAGGAAGATTGAAGGGATAACCTTTGTCAGGCCTTCCACAACAGGTTTTGGAAACATAACATATTTTTCCAATCATTCTTATTGGTTACAATAAGAATAACTAATACAAGGTCCAATTTCAGATAAATAATTGGACAAATCCTAGAATCCCTCAGCAGTGTTCCTCACACAATATCTAAGCAATACAATCACAATTCAACTTTTCCGGTGAAAAGACAAAAAATCATATAATCACATGTTCGAGTACTAAGAGATTCCAGATACAGGTGAGGACAAAGCAGTGACAGTAATACTATGACAGAAGAATATGAAAAAAATAAGCTCCATACCTTTTCCTTTGCTCTTGGTGCAGTGGGCTGAGACACCGGCAAGGGCGGCACAGGCAAAACCAGGGTACGGAACTTGGTAATAGCATCATACCATTTAGGATAGCTGCAACTTCTTTATTCATCTTATGAAATGTGCTACACTTGATTGCAGGAAAAACATAAGGATCCCGAGGGGAAAGATAGAATTTAAGTACATCATAATGAGTCTACAACTAAATTTAGTGACACCCGACTGCTGAAGCATGTTGAGTACAGAACAAAAGAAGATATATTCCTCTAATGAATGTAAGAACTGTAACATGGGTAACTTCACAGAACTATATCAAAACATCCATATTTTCCCGCCCCTTGGAAGGATTTTTGGGTTAGTCAATTATACATTTAATAATAAACAGAAAATAAGTACTATGAAAACCAAAATGAGAATCTCACAAATCACTATCAAAATGAAAGTGATCATTAGTTTTTGGCTTCATCAATTAGCCCTGAGCTACTAAGTAGCGACACCAAATCACCCTTTTTCATTTTGGAAAACCCCTTTAACCCACGAGATTTTGCAAGCACCCTAAGTTCTGGCAGCTTCAATGCACTTAAATCCTCATGTTCAGTATGCTGTTCTCTGTCTTCCTCATCAACATCAGAAGATTCATCCTCTAACAAATCATCCAATACATCAGATTCTTGATAGACTGACTCGGGCTCAAGCTCAAGCTCTGGCTCAGATTCAGAATCTAGTTCCTCATCTATTTCATGTACATGATCGGCTGCAGGGTGTAACTCCGAACTCAAATTTCTCTTCCTATCTGAATTGACATGTACCACAGAATTGACAATATCCTCGCCAGAAGAAATTGTTTGAAATTTCATTTGCGGAACAGGTGACTTTCGTCGGAAATTTGATGCTGGTCTGCTTAAACTAGGGGCATAGGATTTTTTGGTCTCACTCCTAGCTCTATCGTTTGAACCAAAGAAACTGGAGCTTTTATCTTCACCAGAAGAGCCATTCACTTCTGGATTGTCTAAATTCAAGTCTCTGCTGTTGTTTTTCTTACCTTGTTCAACCGAGTGCTTCCTCAATAGCTTAAGGAGAGAATCAACTCTTTCACTCTCTTTGTTCTTTCCCTGTGAGGCTTCAGTTTTCTTGTCTTCTTTAACTGCAGCTTTTTCTCGAAGTTTAGCTTGGACCTTCCTAAAAAGCTCCACAATCTCCTTCTCTCTAGGACCTGGGGCTGCAGTTGCTTGAAATTTTGGGGAACCAGAAAGGGAAAGTAATGGTCCATTTCTTGAAGATATCATTTCAGATCCATCTAGATCTTCAAGATTCTCTCTCTCTTCATTTTGCTTCCTCCCTCGAAACCCATGTCTTTGCCTCGAGAAGTCATTGTTTCTCCTGTGACCACTAGAACCTGCTCTGCAGAAAAAAGGTGTTCCCCTCGAACTACATTTCAAAGATCTAATCTTCGCCTGTGTGCAAATCTTGTGATCACCATGGGAAGAGCAAGGAGAAAGTATCACCACCCTTCCAGAAATGCCCAAGTAGGACATATGTCTGCAGTCTGTTGGTCCATAACCTACAACAGATCAGTATCGTGTGACATAAAGTTAAGAAAACAACCATTTAAGAAGCAGAACTATCTTTGAGCCTAATTCTTTACCCATAAAGCACTTGCCGGAAATCCAAATAAGTATCATAAACTGACAATCTAGCCCAGGAACCACCTTAGGTAAATCGCACAATGAACATTAATCTTCAAAAAGTTACAATGCCTTTAATCAGAAAAATTAAAAATGAAATTTCTCAGGGAACTCCTCTAAACTTCGAGTGACGTTCATCACTCCACTACCATCCCCGATCAAGGGAGTAATCAACACTTTCCTAACAAAGTTCTACTTATCTAGATAGTATAATTTACTTCAACATTAGCTAATATCTTTCAAATACATATCAACCCAAGTCTATTTAACTTATTTTACCCCCAACACCAAAAAACCGAACAACACACGATTACCTTCTCCTCTGGCTTTTCATCACAAGTGAAAATTACTTACTCTAGATGCTAATATCAACCGTACGATTCACTAATATTTCCTCTTTCAAAAAAGCAACTAAAAAATAGCAGAAAACAAGAGAATTTAACATTAATGCTAAACAAATTTAACATGCCAACCTGAATTATTGAACAAAGCATTTCATAGATTCCAGCATGAACAGTAATTACAATTTAAGGATAAGATTAAGACCAGAAATATTTTACAAAAAAAAGGGGGAAAAAGAGACCAAATAGAATAAGTTAAAAATGGGAAAACGCCCATTAATGAAAAATGAGATGTGCGTAAAAAATACTCATTACAACCCTCAACCTCGAGTTGAGCAAACATTTTCATTTTTTCTTGGAAACCAAACAAAAATTGAAAAAATTGAAAGGAAACAACACCCCCCGAAATAAGAGAAGAAGATGAATATTCACCAGGAAAGTTATTGGAAAGGAGATGAAGTGCATGCGACATGAGTTAAGGTGGAGCTTCAAAACAAAGCGTTGTGGCGGTTTTGCACTCTCTTTTCGCAGGGTTTCTGTGTTTTTGTTTGACAAAATGATATAAGCCGAGCCGAGAACACTGGCTGGTAAGGCAGCCCCTTGGTAATTTGTCAATTTGTTTATGGGCAATTCTGGGTGAAAGAATTAAGAAGCCTTTTGGCCTTATCAAATGTATCAAAACGATAACGGCCCATTTCGTATCCATTTTTCATATTATTATTTTTATTATATACAAATTTAGAAAAAAATTATTAAATCACTTCATAATAAAAAAGATTGGTGTTTTTAATAAAAATTAAAATGTATATATAATAAATGATTAAAATAATTTTTGAATAAAAATTATGTTATAATTACTCTAAACCTTTTAAAACAAATAAATATATATATATATGGCTTAAAAAATTCACTCAATATAATTTTGGGCTGAAATCTATTATGAAATGATTTTTCAAGTTAATTTATTTATTTTATTCTTTCTTTACAATATAATTAAAATTTATGGTTTTATTTATTTAATAATTTGATATCTCGTCATATTAAATTAATTTCTTTTAATAATTTTAAATTTGATTTATGGTTGTGGATTCATAGCAAAAATATTTTGGGTAAACTACAGAAATTTTCGAAAAGGTTGTTAATTGGTTTTATTCATCGTTTAAGATTTATTTTAATTAATCATTAGTATTTGATTTATTAATCTTTTAATTCATATTAAATTTTACAAAGGTCCGTTCTAAAGATAACTCTCAACTAAATTTGTTATATTCCCAAACTTCAGAATTTAAACTTTTGATTTTTTTTTAAAAATTCTAATGTCTCGTTCTACTAAATAAGCGGGTTGTTGTATCACCAAATAACAAATATTAGATTAATAAGACTTCAATCTGAGTATTATACTCATAAATTAATCAAAAAGTAAATTCTGGTTTTATTGGCTATAGGGGTTGGAATAGGCCAGGCTTTAAAAGGTCTGAGTCTGGCCTACGATAATTTTTTTAAGCCTGAGCCTGGCCTATAGCCTATCAAAAGCTTTTATTTTTGGCTCGGCCTGGCCTTTGTAAAATATTGTTTCACATTAAACCTTTAATATTCCTTTGATAGTTGTTTTCACAAAAAAATAGCACACCTTCTATAATAGGCTAAACAAGCCCTTAATATATAATTTGACTTAATTTTTAATCTAACGTTAATTTAGCTGGACACATATATATTGGTACCCAAAAAATAATATAAGTATTGTAAACACCAATTTTTGTCCCCAATACATGTCTGCACAGTACCCAAGGTCAACACCATATCTTGTTGTTCCCGATGTCTACACTAGCACACCATCAAATGCTGCTGCCGCCCATACTGTGTCCATGCTCCACTTTTGTTGTTATTTCTCTTTGTTTGTAATGGATATATAGCTAAAAAAGAATGAAGCAGTGGTGGGGGTCCGCTCGTGAGAAATAATTGGAGGGGGCGATTGAAGAGAGAAATAAATCGGGGAGAGGGGTTAGTTTAGTTTTAGGGTTATATATTAGATTTAGGATTAATTATCTTCTAGACCCTACAGTTTAGCCAAATATTTACAGTTTAGTCATTAAAGTTAGAGTAAAATTCCTATTAAGTCACTCTAACTTAGACGCATTTTACAAAGTAAACACCGTTATGACAAGTATATATACATATATATAGGCCAATCTATCAGACTTTTTAATAAGCCTAAGTCTGGTCTATTTAATTTAATAAGCTTTTAAAAAAAGCTCGAGCCTAACCTTTTTATTAAATAAGTCAAGTCAAACTAGACTTTATGTAGACCACGTCGTAGACTCCTGTAGATCGACTTGGCCTATTCCGACCCTTAATTGGCGAGCAAGTCTTTTTGTTAAACCTAGGAGGGTCTTTCAGGTAATTTCACAACAAACATTAGTATCGAAAACCCTAGTCCTGGACTCAACCTTGACATCAAAGGTCGAAACTTTAGTGCTCCTCAAAAAACAGGCGCCACTGAATTCTATCGTTTTTTCCAGAATTTTTTTGGGGTTAATTCCACTAACCAAATAACCTTAATTTTCATTCACGATAATATAAAGTAAAGTCTCCTTATTTACTACTGTTTTGTGGGGAATACCACACTCGATGTATATGTAAAAAGAAGAAGAAAACTAGACCTTTTCTGAAGAGATTTGATTGATTATGGCTAGTAGGAAGTTGGTTCGAGATTTTTTCATTGCAAGACATCCCCTTACACAACGCCTTTCGTCTCAACAGGTACAAAGCTGCTAGCTTGTTTCTCGAATAGTGTAAAGTTATGTTCTTGTTTTTTTTTTCAAAACATTTTTTAAATTTTTTGGTGGTTGTGGGATTTTGATGTTTCAGGGTTCGAATGTAAGACTAAGATTACTATCTGGAAATGGATACTCGGGCAATCGACAGTTCAGTGTCTTCAAAGAGTTCTCCAAGAAAATTAAAGGCGAAGCTGGCAGGTATTTTGAAGCTACTAGTACTTTTCAATATGAAAAAGGGGGGAAAAAGACAAGTCTCTTATCTTTCCTTTGATGTGGTATTTTGTAAATATTGTAGAAATTCGGAATTTCAGCAATCAGTTGAGCAGCTAAAGGGTAAAGCAGAAGATCTGAAAATTAGGTATTGTCTCTCGTATTGGGGTAACCGGTTGTATGTTTTGTCGTAATATTAGCATTGTTAGGTATAATAGGCTGAGACATACCATTGTATGTCAAGGGATTGCCTGAGATGGTGAAATGGCCAATGCAGAGCGAAGCAGACGACTGAGCAGCTTTACAAACAGGTCGATGGTGCATGGACAGAGGCTGAAGCTACTGCTAAAAAGGTTAGGGTTCAAATTTATCTTCTCTTGTAGTTCTTTCAGTTGCTTTTCCTTGTAATGCATATTTATGTGAATTACTTGATAGCCATTAAGTTATATGTAGCGTTGCATAATATGTATCCAATTCATTTTGTGGAATAAATATGTAATCGAGCTTAATCAACTAGTTATACTTTAGAACTTGACCATAGCTAGGATAACCTGCTTTGTACAAGAAGCTAAAGATGATTGCTGAAAAGCAACCTCCCTTGGATTTTATATTGGTAATTTAGATTCTATATTGTTCATAAGGTGGAATTATTGTTGCTCCATGAAATTAGTGTCTTATTGTAATTTTAATCTTGGGACATGAGACTGAGATGTGGAAAAGGTTATCTGTTTTGAATATGAAGCTTTTGATGGAGCTGCTTTCTATGTTAATGATATCTAATTCATATTTGATTGGTATTATGTTGTTAGTAGGTTTCTGCCAACATGAAAGAGAAGATTTCAGCTGCTAAAGAGGAGGTAATTTTTTTTTTTAAAATTCAGATAGTTGACCTAGAAATTATGTCTATGACTGCTTTTATTTTATCAAGTTATTTGGTTATGTTGGTTTAGGTTAAGGAGAGTTTTGGGGTTGAAAAGGAAGAGTCTTCGCAGTCAACCGATACTTCAGCTCAGCGTGGTGCTAATTTGAATGATGAAGGTAAGGCGACATCCAAGGAAGAGAATTACCAGCAATCTGGATCGGGTGATACTGCAGAAACTGTACTTGGAAAATTAAAGTCTTGCATTTCTTCTCCTAAGGTTTCTTTAGCTTTCCAAAGGTTAAAGGAAGCTAAGGTTGTTGATTTAGCGAAGAAGGGTTATGACATTGTTAAAGATGAGTTAAGTGGTAACCCAAGTAAGAGAAAGCATCTGGAGTATACAGCCCCTCCCTCATCAACAGGTGAAAGAAGTACAAGAACTGATATTGTTGTTTTGCCATCTAAGCAGTCCCGTTGGAGTAAAAAGTGGGAGTCATTAAAAGAGAAGGTAAGTTTACTGTCGGCGTTGAGGTTTACTCAAATATCACTTAAAAGTTTCACCTATTGCTCGTGTTCCCCTTCTTATTGAATGGATTTTGCTCTCTTCTGCATAGATGCAAGGTCATCCATTATTCAAGCGTGTTAGTGGGATGAGTGAACCTGTTGTGACAAAGGGCCAAGAGGTAAGTTTCCAACCTATGCATTTTTCATCCCCACTACTTGAGTGTCTCAATTTGTGAAATATGCATACTTTAGATTGAACTGGTTGAAAATTATTACATGGCTGTGTTGGCAGATCGCAGAGGATGTACGTGAAATATGGGAGACCAGTGATAACCCCATCGTTCACAAAATTCAGGAGTATGCGACACATTCTTGTTGTGTTTTATTCTTTTTCCATGCTACTCTGCTAGCAACTTTTCAACATAAGATTTAGAAAGTTATGTGATTTTTGGATGCTGATTTTGTTATTCCTGATTTGACAGTATAAACGAGAGTATCTTTCAAGAAACAGATGCTGCAGCATCGTACAAAGAAATACGCCTACGAGATCCGTATGGTCACCTTCACCTCTCCTTTATTTTTGCTTTGGCACTTAAATGTTCCATTTCTTGATCTATGCTATTCTTTGGTGCATGGAGTAGGTCATTCTCTTTGCCAGAATTTGTAGCAGAAGTTCAAGATGCAATTAGACCGGTCCTTAATGCATATATAAAAGTAAGGGGTTTCTTTGGCTTATATTTTGGTGTTCTATATTTTCAAATAAAAAGTGTCTCAGGTAGTGGCTGCCTCTATAATATATATAACTTTATACGCACAGGGAGATGTTGAAACTTTGAAGAAGTATTGTAGTCCTGAAGTTATCGATAGGTGCGAAGCTGAACATACTGCTTATCAGAGCCATGGTATATTTTTCGATAACAAGGTAAGACTGACGATTCTATGTAGCGTTGTATGCCATATGAAATATGGTACATGATAAGATGTATCAAGTTTTCTGCTGTTTATTGTAACAAAAATCGGTAAGAAAGCATGTACCTTTAATAACCAAGTGTGGTTATAGATGATCACGGCCTTAAATACGTCAGCTTGCGGATTGCAGTTGGGATTATTGGGTTGTAAATGTCATGTTGAGTTATATTCTTGATATGGAATGTTGTTACTAATTTCACCTACTTTTGCTGCAGATTCTACATATATCTGACGTAGAAGTTAGAGAGACCAAAATGATGGGGACATCCCCCATTATCATAGTGGCAGTACGAGTTTTTTGTTCTTTTGATTCAAGTTCTTTCTTGAATTAAGCCTTTTTAAGGTTTTTGAAACTGATGCTTGGTGGCCTTTGTACTTTCAATGTTCACAGTTTCAAACACAACAGATCCACTGCGTACGAGATAGAGAGGGTAAAATTACGGAAGGCGGAAAGGTAAATGAAAAACTAATTTTCTTTTTGTTATTTATTTGCCATGACATATGCCCGTATGCTGTTTGAACATATTATCAGTAGAAAATACAAAAATATATCAAAAATATATGAGAACTTGAAATTTTCAGGGGGCTAGTGAGGGCTTTTGGCCCATCCCTGTATGTGGAAGATGTCTTATGTTCGTACCTTTAAAGAGATTCGTGTTCTATAATATTAATCATATGTTGATCCTAATCTTCTAAAATTGTGCCTTTAGGATACAATTCACACCGTGTATTATGCATGGGCCATGCAACAAGTGGATGTAGAAGAACTTGGAGAGGGTGCCCTCTACCCAATATGGAAGCTTAGAGAAATGCAACAAATTGGTGTACAAGCCCTTATCTAGCTTGATCTTCAGTCAATACCATCTCTTATTAATGGATATTGTATGATTTGACCCCCCCCCCCGACATTTTTTCTACTGCTCACCTGGGTTTTGTTAGTTTCTTCTCCAGGGAGAAATTAAGTTGATAAATAATTTTTTAATTATTTTCAGCAAAAAAATGAAATTTCAACAATAATGTTCATTTTCATTTATTTCTAGGATCAGCTTTGCCTGAGATTCTTGATTGCTGTTAAATGTTTGAGCGATGAATGTTTAAACTTCACCAACAAATTTTGTGATCATGTATAACATATTTACTTGATAGCAATGACATATGAAAAGAAAATATGAAATGATATTAATATATGAATGTGTCATATATAATAATACTAATAAAATCAAAGAGAGGAAGCTAGTTGTTTGAAACTTGCTGAGAAGCAGCTTTGAACTTTACAAGTTCATTTACTCTGCTATTCGACATTGTAAATAATGTACCGCTGATTCAGTTTGATCATCTAGAAAAAGTAATGTTCAAAATCCTGTAAATAACATCTTTCGGTGCACATTGTTTCGAGACAAATCTAAAATCAGGCATTAAAGCTTGGGGGGAGGCCGAGAAGTAATTCATCCTATCGAAATTCGTTTCAAAATATGACATCGGGATCATCATCATAGTCGAAATCTGGTTCACTAGAGTGTCTCGGTCGCTTAGCTTCTCTAGCTCTTCCCTTCTTTGGCTTTCCTCTGTGAAGAACACGGACATTAGTTTGTTGGGGGTTTAGTATATCTTGAAGCATTTGTAAGTGTGTCCTTAGTTATTGTTTTCAAGCATTTCAGACCAAGGTAGATTTTACAAATTAATGCACTTACTGCCCACCGGCAAAGTAACCTCCACCCTTAGGCCGACCTGCGCTGCCGTAGTACGATTTCCCATCTGCCAAACACAAAGGAACAACAAACAATGAAACATCAAGAAAGGATATTTGTTGATGCACCTACATGCTACAGGCTCACCATCTCTGCCAGCAGCAACCTCTTCAGCCTGAAAAAGCAATCATTAGCAGAGGAAAAATCAGTTTGAGAAACTTGCTAGTGATAGGTTCTGAGGGGGAAAAAAGTTGCAGACACCATTTTTTTATCAATCCGGTTCTAAGGAAAATTAGCTGCAGTAAACACTATTTTTAATAAGAATTTCATCTTTCACGATGAGTTATTCCCACGTTTAGGTAGTAGTCATAATAATCATGTTATCCATCACTGCAAGTGATGGCATGTTTAGAAGTGAAACAGGTACGGTATTTTGATGACGGTAGTCATTTATAGTTCCATTTTGGAAACATTTAGCAGGATTCAGTATAAGGGGAAGCAATACATTATCTTAGATGCGCATAGTTGAAGAGTGTGAGAAAGGCTTTGGCTTATGAGGGAAAATAATTATGGTGCCTTTATTTGCAGCAATAGCAACACTATTCTTGCATAAAGTTGCGTTTAGTTTATCAGCTTCTCAGCGGATACTAGAATGGCTGTGTCATGCAGTCCGCCTCTGAGCATGCAATTCAATGCAAAGAGAGAAACAGAACCCAACACCCAACCCACAAGCAAAGACAAATTAAGAAAACAGAGATAGACACGAAGCAAAAGTCATCTCATCCATATTCTAAATTCCTCATTCGATTACTGATCACGTTTTCGAAATCCAAATGCAACCCCCATAACAGAATGATGGTTCAAATATTGCCTATGGTACAAAACATTTAGAAATGATAGTTTGTTACGTGCCAGCATTTGATAAAACCAATTTCAACTTTCACATCATTTGACATGACAAGTAGTAGTTATGCAAGCGAACAATAAAAGAAGAGGGAAGCTTATTTAAGAACACGCACCGCAGGTGAAGTGACAGAAGACAACGAGAACAGCCTATCTTCAGGCTGGAACTTCCTGGACCTCTTTAAGCTGCGACACAAGTTGGATAGGCGGATCATATTTGATACAAAATCATAAGATAAGTTTTCACTGAACTGAATTGCTCTTAAGGAATGTCCTTAACCATACATAAGAACTGAACAAACAAGGCAATTCTGAAATTATATGAGAACTCAACAATTTAATAAAAATAAGAAGTATGTAATAAACACAATACTACACATTTGAATACAATTAGCACGACACATTTAACATGCGAGCTGTATTTGTAATTTGTGTCGTGTTTATGTATACCATGCGGCTGAGATGCGACAAAAACACACAATATTGAGAAGGATACACGAAATTTCAGCTCTGCTAACGATAAATTACGTTTACATAGGAAGAAGAACAGAGAATAAAAAAAGGCAATCCATACAGCGCAGTGTTCTTGGATGAAGAGAGGAATCCCTCAAAACCTTTCAAAACGTGGCCGCATTGGCTGGGATCCTGTAAATAACTTGTTTCCATATCATACACCTGCATTTAGAAACAGGAATATAAAACATAAATCTAATCCGAGTAAAATCGGGATCTGGAAAAAAGGATGAAATTAACTTGTCTTTCGATGTTTCGAAGCTCTTCTTGAAGCTTGGCTCTTCTATTAAGCAGAGAAGCCAGCATCGCCGACGGTGTCGTTGTTGATCCTCTTTGACCTAAAAAAACAAAGGTTTCAATTATTTTCTAACAATGAAAAAGAACGGAAACATAATTACAAAATGAATTGATAAGAAATTGGTAATCGTAACGGCTACCATCATAATCCATATTTTCGCGCGTAATTCCGTTGAGATTATTTAGAACCCTAAAACCTGAGTAGAGCTGCCCCAATCTTTTTGATCGTGAAACCTTTTGGAGATTCGGATCGGATCCCCTTCGGGTTTTTCTTCTTCTTAATTTAAAGATCGAAATAAAAAGGTCCGATTTCAAAAGAACTGCGACATTTAAAAGTTGCCGAAACTGTCAGTACGATCAAGATTTTCCAGCCAACAGAATTGCGCCATTTATAAGCCGGGTATAATGGATCCAAAATCCGAATATATTTGGGCATAAGGAACGGACAGGGTTCAGATTTTGGGCCGGGTTTTAAAATGGGTACGTGGATGGCTTAGATTTGATCTTTTGGATATTGCAAGCGTTAAATTCCGATCAAGTTTCTTTCCATTATTTTTCATTTATTTTTATTTAAAATAAATTTAATAATTATTCCTTATTATTTATAAATATGATTTATATAATTTATTAATGAATTATGTATACATAATAGTGATTAATTTATTAAATAATAATAGATTGGATCTTTTAACCCTTTAAATCCAATTGCCTCCCTTTCCTTTTCAATTCTTAGGCTGATTTATGTGAAGTCTAGAAGCATTAGTATATCTTATTAAATTAATTCGTATTTATTAGGTGTAATAAAAAATAATATCTCTTAATAAAAATTTGGACCTAAGTTTTATGAACAAGAAAAGATATTTATTTTCTTTAGTTTAATTTAACTTTATATATAATCTGAATTTAATATGATTATCAAATACTAAACATTTTATTACTAAAATACTATATATGCTAGATTTAATAATTTAGTGACGACAATAAATATGTTGTAATTTTGAACAATTTAAAAAATGTATAGAGCACATGTTTACAATGGAGTTTGATGAGATATATAATTTGATACATAAAATTTGATTTAGTGTAATTATACATTTAAAATTAAATTCTAATTCCTATTCAATTGTATGCATAAAAAATTTATTTTAATTCAATTATATATGTTTGAAAAATTAAATATGTATTATTTTTATATTCATTACATATAAATATTTGTATATGAATATGATGCTTTAACAATAATGGTTTTAATAATTTATGACTTAAATTAAAATTATATATATTCTCATTTTGCATAATTAGTTACAGTATTTATTCTCACTCGTTCAATGATTTTAAAAGATAATTTCAATTATTTATTTTCACTCATTTAATAATTTTAAAAGATATAAAACTAAAAAATTTTATATTTTAGTAGTGAGATACAAATCATGTATATATATATATACACACTTGACAATACATGGAAAAGATTGAACAGCCCTAGAATCGACCCCCAAGAAAAAAATGGGACAGCTCCAAGATTCAATGAAATAAAGAAAATGAACAAAAATATGAAATACAATGGAAAGATTAGCAAAAAGAAAAACCGACCCATCGTGGTCAATGGGTTTTCACCATGGACCCGAACTTTCACAAGAAGTTAAAAGTTGTTCCAAGTAATCAGGTCCTAAATCCTCAAACACCACCAAGTTCTGGTGTTTCTGTTTTCCACCCACCTCGTTCCGTTTACATTTATTGTTCTTGGACCTCTTCCTCAAGTAATGAGTCTTCTTCAAAGACATAACAGGAGAGCAACCCTCCTCGCATTCATACTTCATTTCCTCCAGCGATTCCTTCACCACTTGGATTGGGAAATTGAGAGTTGCCAATGACCCTCTCATCGCAAACGCCGCTTGGTCGTAAGCTAAAGCCGCTTCTTCCGCGCTGTCGAATGTTCCTAGCCACACCCTCACACCGTTCCTAGTCGAATCCCTTATTTCTGCTGCAAATTTCCCCCATGGCCTCTTCCTTACCCCTCTGTAATTCTTTTCAGGCTCCTGTTCGAGTTCGAGTTTAGGGTCCGAAGTAATTTCTTCAGGTTCGGGTCTGCCTCCGGCCAATAAATCCATCCAAAGCAGTTCCTCGGCGTCATTGAAGTTGAAGAAAACAGCATTGTAGGGCTCCGGCGAGCAAAAAGACGATTCAGGGGAGATTTCCGGTGTAGTTGTTGAGTATTGAAAGAAAGAAGATTCGTCCATAATTGGGTTAAATCTGTGGGCCATTTGCAGAGGTTGTCCGGTTCGGTTTGTTGTCTCAGTGGCAACTGCTGACGAACTATGTTTTGGTGTCAGAACATTTCAACTGTCTAACCCTCTCTATTTAACGGTAGGAATGAAAAGGAATTAAGCACGTGAGTCAAATGACGCAGAGCGGCCGGGTTGGACCCGAAATTGCATAATATATAGGTATGATTGGTTTATTTTGTACCTACGTGGCAACCATTTGTCCCAATAGTGTAAAAAGAGATTTCGACCATCAGATAAATTTCGAAAAGTTTTAAGGTAAAATTTATAGGTATGAAGAATACAGATAAATTAATCTCCAATGATTGTTGTTATTGCTTAATATTTTTCTAATGCAGGCCCAAGGCAGATATTTCGATTCCCAAAGTATTATTATTATTTTTAAATCAATTAAACACTTTAATGAATTTTAGGGAATATAAAATATTAATAATATTTTTAGAAAGTTTTTTTTTGATAAAATTAAAACTGCTAATTTAATTAAAACATTAAACAGCTAAAATTACGATGAAAGTTTATAACCATAAGTATAAACTGAAAATATAATTATAACTTTTTTATAATTATTGACATAATAAATTAGTCACTTGATATTATATGAAGATTAAAGAAAAAGTCAAAAATCCAACCAAAAATCTTAACAAAATATAGGTAAGATTTGATTGCATCGGCAAACTAATCACAAAATGGGCTTAAATTATAGAAAGACAGCTGATAACTGCAAATTAGAAAGAATACTATCCATGAACGCAAATCGCGTATTTAATCCAATTTGAGGGTAAAAAAACAAGAAAAATAAGTATGATAAAAAAATAAGTGACATTTTGATTAGTCGATGCAACATCAATTCTATCTCTATCTCTGAGAGAGAGAAAATAAATGAAAAAAACAACCAAACGATCGATAAAGAAAAACGAAACGTGACATAAAGACAAAAATACTTGTCATAAAGACATAATTATTAAAAACTAAAAAACAAATGAGAAGCAAATATATAACATAAAAAAGTAAAGAAAAAATAAATAAAAAATAGACTATAGGCGGCCAACACCAAAACTGATGTACTCGCTTACCAAACAAAAATATAAGAAAAGTAACAAGCAACTCTTATGGCACGAACTAACTTACCTCAATGGTTAAAGAAATTATTATTATTCCTAGATATCACATATTCAAGCACCAACGAATGCAAGCGTGATTGAAGGTTCATTATCAAATAATTAAATATAATTATAATATATATTACTTTGTAATTCCATTAGATTAAATAAAAAAAATCTGACAAGAAGCAAAGCTTGAACAGAATAGTTACAAAAAGTGAAAGGTGAAACTATAAATTATGGTTCATATCTATCATTTTGGAATTGAATACAATATTTTTTTTTTACTAAAAGTAAAGAAGTACCCTATGGTTTTATTAAGCTGATAACAAGTGAAAAAATCAATAGATAAATGTAAAGTGGAATTAATTAATTGATCAAAGTGTTTGAATAAAATGGGAAAGCATCCACCTAAACGACATTTTTGAAAAAGGATAAGTGCCCATCATCATGTTCTTTGAATTCATCTGTCGTGTTTAGTTAATTTTCCAAAGAAAGAAAGAACAAAAATCATCCATGCAAGAAAGGACTATAATTATTTATCACAAGGGGCGTGCTTTACGTCGCTGTTTCAGCCAACAGTATTGTCTACATTCAGACTCCCTACTCACCTATCATTATCATATTTTAAATTAAATCTTATAATTAATTGTACGAGATTTTAAATTCTTTAAACAACAATTCAAGGTTTAAATTCTACCCTCAAACAAATTATTTTAGTAATTAATAAATTGTTGTTAGTCTTAAGATATCGGGTTTGAATATTGTGTATGCATAGATGTATAAACTTTTATTGTCAAAATAGTTGAGAGTTTTTGAATAAATATTTTCTTGCATTCACCTAAACTAATAAAAAAATAAATTTTAGTGTTAAAAAAATTAAATTAAGAGGATTATTCTCATACAAATGTATATGTAGTGTTCGAATGAAATAATCGATTAATATTAATGATTATAATTTTTTTTACCGTTTCTAAACCCTTCAAGCTACATATTCACATGATTAACTAGATCTATTTACATACAATTATTTTAAATAGATAATGAAGATTGAAGAAGAAGAGATTTAAATAATTCATATGATTATCTTCAAAATTTATATTGAAAGGTAGGGATGTAATAAAATTTTATCCCGAACCACCACATTTGCTTATAGACAAATGCTTGGTGGCGAATTAGGGCATGAAGGAGCTTAAAACAAAATTTATCATAAAAAGGAAAAAAATATTAAAATTAAAATGCTTAATTAGATATTAACTGTAAACGTCGAAATAATTAAACTAGAGTAAATTTAACCTTTTTTATGAAAAAGTCAAAACATAAATTTATCATTATTAATTTACCATGAACTAAAAAAAATTCTACAACGATCGTCGAGTGTGGATGAGCACTGTTAACGATGAACACATTAAATTAATTTATAAAACATTAAATTATAAAGTATTAAACGTATAATTATAAATTAGATAAAAATATAAATGTAACTTAATTAAAATACAGTATTTACAAAACATTAGTTTTTAGGGTAAATTATAACATTGACCATCTAACTATTTACCTATTTTACTTTAATCGTCGATTTTTCAATTTTGTCAATCAGGTCACATAACTATTTAAATATTATCAATCAAGCCATCAACTTTTAAATATTAACAGAGGAGATGTCATAACAGTGAATAAAATTTATATAACTACACATTTAGTACTCATTACTTACACATTCTATTAATTTTGTTCTAACTTCTAATTAATTCAACAAATTTAATTCTCAATCAGATAGTGACATGTGTCACCATGTGATTATAATTTTTTCTTAATATTTTTATTTAATTTAATAAATTTTCAATCCAATTAAATGGTGTCACTTGTCATCAATTGACTGAATAGAAAATAAATTGTAGCAAACACCCCAACCATTGGGCTACACCATTTAAATGACAAACATATCATGACATAATATATATATATATATATATATATATATAGTTAATGGCAACAAAAAAAGGAAAAAATGACCTAATAAGAACTCCAACATGGAATAATTGAATAATACAATAATATGACATATATACACAAATATTATAACTGAATGATATGTGAATGCATTTTATTTATATTTTAAATCATTTTAATGAAAAAATAAAAATAATTTTAATATATTATAATTGAAATATAATGAAGAACTTCATTGACTTAGAATTTTCTTGATAGTTGAGGGCTTATCATAATAAGCATTTTAATTTATGCATTGACTTGTTTATATCCCAATTAGAGTAAGAATTTTATATTTGATTATTCATTCAATAGATATTTGAATACAATTTTAGGGGAAACTTAATTTTACTGAGTTAGTCTATTTTAGTATAAAATTGTTAAATAAGATTAAAATCCAATCGACGTTATAATATTTTAAAATATAAGATATGATATATTTCAATTCAATAAAATTAGAATAATGAAGACAATTTATTAATTTAAAACATGTAAAATGATACATTTCAATTCAAAAAAATTAGAATAATGAAGACAATTTATTAATTTAAAATATGTAAAATGATACATTTCAATTATGACATTTTAAATTCACTTTTATTTTAATTTTTAGATTAAATGTGATTTAAAATATAAATAAAACATATTCATTTATTAATCAATTATAATATTTGTTATATATATATATATAATATTTTTCATATTATTCAATTATTTTATGGTTGAGTCCTTATAAGGTCATTTATTACCATTAACTATATTATAAATTATATAGATTATGTTCTGTATACTAAATAAATTTAGGGGTTAGAGTGTTTAGTTTTTTGGCTGTGTCTCAGGTTCAAACCCCACCAGCAACGGTTATTGATTTAATTTAATTTTTATTCATTCAATCGGAGACACGTTGCACCATTTGATTAGATGAAAAATTTATTAAATAAAAAATATTTTAAAAAATATCCAATCACACAGTGACACATGCCACCATCGGATTGAAGATTGAATTTATTGAATTAAATAAAAGTTAGGACCAAATTGATAGAATGTGTAAGTAATGCGGACTAAATGTGCAATCATACAAATTTTATTAACTGTCATGTCATCTCCTTCGTTAACATTTAATGGAAAGTGACTTGATTGACAAGATTTAAATAGTTATATGATCTGGTTGACAAAATAAAAAATCGGCAGTTAAAATGAAAGGGGTAAATAGTTAGGTGGTCAATGATATAATTTATGTTAAAAATTAATGTTTTATAAATATTATATTTTAATTAAATTACATTTAATTTTTTAACTAATTTATTATTATACGTTTAATATTTTATAATTTAATTTAATGATATTAATTATTAACGGTGCTCGTCGAGAATGTGACAGCATCATCATAAATTAAAATGGTTGCCAATCCCTAGATTCACCCTTATCCATGGCGTCTTCATTGCATTGTTGTCGAAGAAATTAAACTAGAGTAAATCTCTTAGTAATTAAACTAATTATTTATATATTTTATTAAATTATTAATCGAGTTGATGTTATTAGTGAATTCAATATTAATTTAACTAGTTAAAAATAATTATATAAAATATTATTAAATTATGACTCTTATTTTAAATTAATTGTTAAACTTTAAAATATTTTTTATTAGTCTTTAAATTATATTTTAAAGATATTTATATTAGCCCTCAACCTATATATATATGGTCATTTAACCCTTATACTAATATGTCATTTAACTTTATTGTTTAAAAAATTAATACTTTATATTTTTAAGATCATGAAAATTAAACCTGTGATCTAAAAATTCTCAAATTATTTTTAGTTTTGATTATTTTTAAAATTTAAATTATTAGCATTGAATCAAGTTCAATTAGAAGCACAATAAGATTATAATTCACATATATGC